AGGGTAAGGGGATAGACTTTTTAAACTAATCCAAAAAGCACTACCTATAATAGGAAAATAGATAAATTTGACCACATTAACATTAAGACAGCCAAGTGGAGTGGCTCACACCTGTAATCCCAGCACTTAGGGAGGCCAAGGCAGGCAGATCACCTGAGGTCAGGAGTTCAAGACTAGCCTGGCCAACATGGTGAAACCCAGCTCTACAAAAATACAAAAATTAGCCAGGCATGATGGTGGGTGCCTGTAATCCCAGCTACTCAGGAGGCTGAGGCAGGAGAATCGCTTGAACCCAGGAGGCAGAGGTTGCAGTGAACCGAGATCACACCATTGTACTCCAACCTGGGTGACTGAGCGAGACTCTGTCCCTCCAAAAAAAAAAAAAAAACAAACAAACAACAAAAAAAAACACCTTAAGACTTGGTTTTATCAAATTATACACCATTACCATTAAAGGAGTTAAAAGGCAAGCCTCACAGATGATTAAGAAATTTACAACATGGGCCAGACGCGGTTGCTCACTTCTATAACCCCAGCATTTTGGGAGGCCGAAGCGGGTGGATCACCTGAGGCCAGGAGTTTGAGACCAGCCTGGCCAACATGGTAAAACCCCATCTCTACTAAAAATACAGAAATTAACCGGGTGTGGTGGCGGGCGCCTGTAATCCCAGTTACTCAGGAGGCTGAGGCAGAAGGATTGCTTGAACCTGGGAGGCAAAGGTTGCAGTGAGCTGAGGTTGTGCCATTGTATTCCAGCCTGGGTGATAAGAGTGAAACTCCATCAAAAGAAAGAAAGAAGGAAAGAAGGAAAGAAAGAAAAGAAAGAAAGGAAGGAAGGAAAGAAGGAAGGAAGGAAGGAAGGAAGGAAGGAAGGAAGGAAGGAAGGAAGGAAGGAGAGAGAGAAAGAAAGAGGAAGGGAGAAAGAGAGAAAGAGGAGAGGAGAGAATAGAAGAGAAGAGAAGAGAAAGAAGGAAGGTATGAAGTTAATTTACAACATGTATAACCAAGAAAGGTCTTGTATCTAGAATATATAAAGAACTATAATCATAAGAAAAAGAGTTGAGGCTGAGCACGGTGGCTCACACCTGTAATCCCAGCATTTTGGGAGGCCGAGGTCGGCAAATCACTTGAGGCCAGGAGTTCGAGACCAGCCTGGGCAACATGGCAAAACCCTGTCTCTACTAAAAATACAAAAACTAGCCCAATGTGCTGATGCATGCCTGAAGCAGAGGTTGCAATGAGCCAAGATCACGCCACTGCACTCCAGCCTGTACGACAGAGTGAGACTCTGTCTCAAAAAAGAAAAAAAGGAAGAAAATAAAAAGAAAAAGAGCTGAACAGGCTCTTAACTAAGGAAGAAATCCAAATAACCAATAAACATATGAAAAAGCATCAATCTCATATGAGGACAAGAAAATTTAAATCACAATGAGAGAATAACATGCCACCCACCAGATGGCTAAAACAGAAAAAGATTGACGATTACAAATGTTGACCACAGTGGAGCAATGGTAATTCTCATACTTTGCCATAGGGAAAGTAAACTCATACAGCAGTTTGGAAATAGGAACAAGCTACATTCGACAATATAGATGAATCCTAAAAACTTAATTATTAAGAAAATGAAACTATTCACAAAATAATATATACTGTGTTATTCCATTTTTGTAAGGTTCAAAAACAGGAAAAAAAGAATGTATACTTAGGTGTTAAAACTATAAAGAAAAGCAAGGAATTGATCATCATAAAAGGGAGATTAGTGGCTACCTCTGAGACCAAAGGAGTCCTGTGAGGAGGGATTTGAGAGTGTGAAGAGCTAATAGGGTTGGAATTCTACAAATCTTCTATTCCTTGGTATGGGTGGTAGTTACACTGCTGTGGGCTTTGTAATAACTCATTAGATTATGTATTTATTGTTTATGCATTTTTCCACGTGTGTGTTATGTTTCCCAGTTTAAAAAATAAAGAGTAGAGGTCTGGAGTCAGATTGGCTTCATTCAGTTCCAAGCGCTACAACTGTGTAACCTTGGGCAAGTTCCATAGCCTCTCTAAGCCTCCGTTTCCCATCTGCAAAGTGTCAGTAATAAGAGTACATCAAAAGGATATTGTGAGGATTACAATGAGAATGTGAGCTGATGTGTATAGTTTCCACAGTACCGCCATCCCTTGGTATCCATGGGGGACTGATTCCAGGACTCCATAGTATAACAGAATCTGCAGATGCTCAAGTCTTGTAGTTGGCTCTCTGTATCCACAGGTTCTGCATCCACTATTATCATTGTAAGCACACTAAAGCATTAAAGAAAGACACTGAAGCAAGTAACTCATGAAATGGTCCTTTATGCTAAAGTATGTATGTTAAGCCAATGGCCTATATTTGATTCTAAACACCTCACTATTCACTGTTTCCAAACACTTGTAGTAGCACTCAATAAATACATCGTGGCCAGGCACGGTGGCTCACATCTGTAATCCCAGCACTTTAGGAGGCTGAGGCGGGCGGATCACAAGGTCAGGAGATTGAGACCATCCTGGCTAACACGGTTAAACCCCATCTCTACTAAAAATACAAAAAATTAGGCCGGGCATGGCAGCGTGTGCCTGTAGTCCCAGCTGCTGGGGAGGCTGAGGCAGGAGAAGTGGTGTGAACCCAGGAGGCGGAGCTTGCAGGTGGAGCCAAATCGCACCACTGGCACTCCAGCCTGGGCGACAGAGCGAGACCTCTCTCAAAAAAAATAAATAAAAATAAATAAATAAATACATTGTGGAATCCCAGGCATGATGGCTCCACACCTGTAATCCCAGAATGTTGGGAGGCCAAGGCGCAGGTGGATCACTTGAGGTCAGGAGTTCAAGACAAGCCTCGTCAACATGGTGAAACCCAGGTCTCTCTACTAAGATACAAAATTAGCTGGGGCAAGGTGGCGGTCCTGTAATCCCAACTATTCAGGAGGCTGAGGCAGGGAAATTGCTTGAACCCTGGGAGGGCAGAGAGTTGCAGGGAGGCCGAGATCGCGCCACTGCACTCCAGCCTGAGCATATAGAAACCAAAGAAAAAAAAACCACGCACACACGCAAACAAAAACAAAAAAACATTGTGAATGAATTATCACTTCTCAGCCTTTTGGCTAAGATTAAGTGTGAATGAATGAATTTTTCTGCTAACCCCAGTACACAAATCTCTGGACACTGTATATATTTAATACATGTTGTTTGGCTCTCTGACAGAGATTTTCCTGGTCTCTGTCTAACGATTCATGTAACTTTCAAGATTTTCTGTTACTTCCATAGTATTCCACACCTTGGTAGACAAGAGTATATTAATTTAGAAGGTTCAAGAGATGAAAATAATAATAATAATAAAAATAATTGTTATGATCTTTTATAGCACTTTTCACTTTAGAAACCATTTTCCTAGAAGTAATGGGAGGTATTGCCAAACTCCACCTACTCATCTGTCAAAGAAAGACCTAGAATCAGAAGAACATAATTAGTTGCTCAACTTAATTCAATCAGAGTTGAAGCCATTCCTTTCTGGAATCAAGGAGAATAACCACAGCCAACTCGTATCAGGCCCGAGATAGAAAAGTGTCACCTTCCTCAATGCCATAATAGGGGAGAAAGTAGTCTATTCCTAAAAGGCAAGCTCAGAATATCATGGTAACAAGAAAAAATAACCTTTCCAGAGGTTAATGGTTGTCTCTGAGGAAAAGAGTTAGAAACTGAACTGGGAGAAAAAATTGGAATTGGAGTACCTACTTCCATATATATATATATACACATACACACACACACACACACACATATATATACACACTTTTTTTTCCTACTTCCGTATTTTTTTATCTTTTTCTTTTTTTTTTTTTTTTTTTGAGACAGGGTCTCATTCTGTCACCTAGGCTGGAGTGCAGTGGTGTGATTTCAGCTCACTTGCAGCCTCAACTTGCCAGACCCAAGCCATCCTCCCACCTCAGCCTCCTGATCACGTGGGACTACAAGTGAACACCATCATGCTCAGCCAATTTTTTGTATTTTTTTAGTAAAGACGGGGTTTCACCATATTGCCCAGGCTGGTCTTGATCTCCTGGTTTAAAGTGATCCACCCACCTCAGCCTCCCAAAGTTCTGGGATTACACACGTGAGCCATGGTGTTCAGCTTTGGCGACAGAGCAAGACCCCATCTGGGGGGTGTGGTGGGGGAAGAGGTAAAACCGACAGCAGCAAACCACAGGTGTGATAGGAGCGAATACTGAGCTGAGATCAGTCTCCTAAAATATGAATCCGATTTCAGGATTATTCATTTATCTAACTGTCAAGAACGCCTTTGAATAGGAGGAAGACTTTGGGGAGAGGGTGGGGTTTGTCGAAAGGGCACCGAGAAGGGAGGGGGTGGTACCCAAACAATTTGTCTACATAACATTTTTTTGGACCTGAAATGTGTAGAAAAGTACTTTGAAAATAAAGTACTGTACTAAGTTTATTTTTCTTATTGTTTGCATATTCTCCCTCCCAGATAATTTACAGACGGCTCTAAAGCTGATCCCCTGGGAGCTTCAGAGTTTAGTGACTCCGTCTGATGATTTCCCCTATTCTTTTCTACAATGTGCTAAGTCAAATTATAGCTAAATTACCTATTCCATGGTAATTCAGCTTCTAAATATATTTTGCAGAGTGCTTCCAAAAGTTTAAAGAAAAAAACAACTTTACATAAATTGTTTTTACTTCCTTCACCTCAAATCAGTTATTCGGTTCCTTTGAAGACTATGCTGCTTTAGCAATCCCCAAAGTGAACCCAGATACCCAGGACTACTGATTGTTACATCAGAGTTTTTGAAAACGCCAATACTAGAAACAGGCCGACAGTTAAGCAGAGGCGGGCAGGACTGAAGCGGAGCCCGAGAATGGGGTAGGAGGTCCCAGGGTCTCGGGTTGCGGGGTGGAGCAGCACTACGTCGTCGACGCTGGGGTGCCGGGACTCCGGCCGCGGTGCCGCCTCCATCATGGGCTTCCTGCGGGCCACGCGCGCGAGCCTCGCCGCCAGAACGATGCTTCATCCTCGAGGGTACCATCCCTCAGAGCGAGGCAGCCGGGGGAGTCACCGTGAACACTATCGGAGCCGAAAACATAAGTGACGAAGAAGTCGCTCCTGGTCAAGTGGTAATAACCGGACACGACGGCGGCGGCGAGAGGACAGTGACCATGTCCGGAGGAGGCGCAGCCGGACATTTAGCCGCTCATCTTCGCAGCACAGCCACCGGAAAGCCAAGCGTGTAGAGGACCACGCTGAGGGCCGCCTCATCTACCACGTCGGGGACTGGCTACAAGGGCGATATGAAATCGTTAGCACTTTAGGAAGGGGGACCTTCGGCCGAGTTGTACAATGTGTTGACCATCGCAGGGGTGGGACTCGAGTTGCCCTGAAGATCGTTAAAAATGTGGAGAAGTGTAAGGAAGCAGCTTGACTTGAGATCAACGTGCTGGAGAAGATCAACGAGAAAGACCCTGACAACGAGAACCTCTGTGTCCAGATGTTTGACTACCATGGCCACGTGTGCATCTCCTTTGAGCTTCTGGGCCTTAGCACCTTCGATTTCCTCAAAGACAACAACTACCTGCCCTACCCCATCTACCAAGTGTGCCACATGGCCTTCCAGCTGTGCCAGGCTGTCAAGTTCCTCCATGATAACAAGCTGACGCATACAGACCTCAAACCTGAAAATATTCTGTTTGTAAATTCAGACTATGAGCTCACCTACAACCTAGAGAAGAAGCGAGATGAGCGCAGTGTGAAGAGCACAGCTGTCCGGGTGGGAGACTTTGGCAGTGCCACCTTTGACCATAAGCACCATAGCACCATTGTCTCCACTCGCCATTACCGAGCACCAGAGGTCATCCTTGAGTTGGGCTGGTCACAGCCTTGTGATGTGTGGAGTATAGGCTGCATCTTCTTTGAGTACTGTGTGCGCTTCACCCTCTTTGTGCGCTTCACCCTCTTCCAGATCCATGACAACAGAGGGCATATAGCCATGATGGAAAGAATCTTGGGTCCTACCCCTTCCTGGATGATCCGAAAGACAAGAAAGCAGAAACATTTTTACCGGGGTCGCCTGGATTGAGATGAGAACACATCAGCTGGGCACTATGTTTGTGAGAACTGCAAACCACTGCGGCAGTATCTGACCTCAGAGGCAGAGGAACACCACCAGCTCTTCAATCTGATGGAAAGCATGCTAGAGTATGAACCAGCTAAGCGGCTGACCTTGGGTGAAGCCCTTCAGCATCCTTTCTTTGCCTGCCTTTGGGCTGAGCCACCTAACAAGTTATGAGACTCCAGTCGGTATATCAGTCTGTGACGATCAGGCCCTGCGCCCCCCTGCATCTTTTATAGCAGTGGGTGTCCAGTCCAGGACACTGGTCCTTTTTTTATAAAAGAGAACAGAAGCAGAGTTCACTCCTTCCTCCTGGTTTTCTGTATACCTGTGAATATGTGAAATATAGCAAATATGAAAGAACTTGTACCTATCACTTCAACCCCTGCCTTGTACATAATGCTATTTCATTCACACACTTTCCACCCTCATCTGCCCCCTCATACGGAGTTGGATGGGCGCCGAGTGAGATAACCAGGTGGCATCTACCCCATGTTTTATAAGGAATTTTGTAAAGTTTTATAAGGAATTTTGTGAAATGAAATAACGTACTTCATTTGACCCCCCAAAAAAATTAGTTGGGCATAGTGGTGCACACCTGTGGTTCCAGCTACTCAGGAAGGTTACACAGAAGGATTGCTTGAGCCTGGGAGGCAGAGGTTACAGCAAGCCAAGATTATGCCACTGCACTCCAGCCTGGGTAATAGAGCAAGACCCTGTCTCAAAAATTTAAAAAAAAAAGTGAAGTAAGCCTCCCTAAAGGGCACCATTGTTGGGAAGGCCTAAATCTGGAAGTGCCTTCCAATGGGCTGTGAGGAGTGCCTGACCCTTCATGGAAGTTCTCTTTTTCCACATAATAATAGTCCAAAAGGTTTGGTCTGGAGGAGTCCTGACAGGTCAGGGGAGGGAGAGGCCCAACCTGCCTCTTAGGGTTTGAGAATGTGAGAGAGGTCTGTCAACCATGAGAAAAACTCCTAGTCCAAAGCAAAATAAAGAGAAGAGTTTGGGCCAAGACAAATATTTTAATTCTCTATTCATTATGCTGGGAACTCATCTTGCCCCAATTCAAATGTAAGCCTTGCCTATAGAAAGTAATTTTTTTTTTTTTTTGAGACGGAGTTTTGCTCTTGTTGCCCAGGCTGGAGCTCAATGGTGCGATCTCGGCTCACCGCAACCTCCACCTCCTGGGTTCAAGTGATTCTCCTGCCTCAGCCTCCCAAGTAGGTGGGATTACAGGCATGTGCCACCATGCCCAGCTAATTTTGGAATTTTAGTAGAGGCAGGGTTTCTCCATGTTGGTCAGGCTTGCCTCAGACCCCCTACCTCAGGTAATCTGCCCCCCTGAGAGTCCCAAAGTGCTAGAATTACAGGCATGAGCCACCACACCTGGCCTAGAAAGTAAATCTTAATCTCTAAAACTCCCAGATATAAAGGGCAAAAAGGCAAAGGTGAACATTCAAATAATCAAGATCATAATGACTATTATTTTTCCTAGCAGATTCAAGGTCATGCTCATACACATTCGGTGAGATGGATTTTAACCAAACAGAAGGCACAAATATGTATCTTTTCTCACTAATTTGCCTGACTGCAAAAATTACCTACATTGTGTTCATTATTATAAAATTCAAAATAATTACCCCATGTAAAGTAAATGAAATGATGAATGCAATTTTATTTAAAATTCATTACTATAACTTTTTTCCATATAAGGAGCTAGGTTTAGAAATTAAAGCCTCTGAATAGGCCAGGCATGGTGGCTCATGCCTGTAATTCCAACATTTTGGGAGACTGGGGCAGAAGGATGGCTTTTGGCCCGGAGTTCAAGGCTGCAGTGAGTTATAATAGTGCCATACCACACCAGCCACACCGGCCTGGGCGACAGACTGAGACCCTGTCTCTTTAAAAAAAAAAAAATCTTTCTCTCTCTCTATATATGTATATATGGCTGGGCACCATATATATATGGCTGGGCACCGTGGCTCATACCTGTAATACCAACACTTTGGGAGGGTGAGGCAGTTGGATCTCCCAAGGTCAGGAGTTCCAGACCAGCCTGGCTGACATGGTGAAACCCCATCTCTACTAAAAATACAAAAAATTAGCTGGGCATGGTGTCGGACGCCTGTAATCTTCAGCTACTCAGGAGGCTGAGGCAGGAGATTCGCTTCAACCCGGGAGGCAGAGGTTGCAGTGATCTGAGCTTGTGCCATTGCACTCCAGCCTGGTCAACAAGAGCAAAACACTGTATCAAAAAAAAAAAAAAAAAAGTATATATATATGTGTGTTTGATAAATCCCAAGGATAAAATCATTTTACTTGGCTAATTGCAATTTTATAAACTAAAAGGACAAAAAGGAATAGCTTTGACAGACGTTTCTAATGAATCATCTTTATTGCTGTAAACTCATAGAAAACTTAAAATTGTTACTATAGTGAATAATAAAAGGAAAGTATTTTCAGAACTTCCAGGCCAAATTGATGTGCAGAGTTTTCTTAGATTCCAAAAACTCTAAGGGTAAAGGGACCCATACAAGACTTGAATTCATTCTTTCTACACTATCCCTGACATTTGAAGGTCATCCAGCTTAAAACAAAACAAAACAAAAAACTCAAGTGATAGTAAACTCACTACTTTCAAAGGAACTTTATTTAATCTTCAGGAAACTTCATTTTTAAAGTTCTTCTGTATATTGAAAATAAATCTGTCTTCCATCTACCTCTTGGCCTGAGTCCTATCCTTTAGGACCATACCTTCAGGAACAATCACTCTTCATGCTCCCTCTGCATCTGCTCTTTTCCAAGGTCTATCAGGTTCTTTTTTTTTTTTTTTTTTTTTAAGAGACAGGGTCTCCCTATGTTGCCCAGGCTGGTCTTGAACTCCTGGGCTCAAGGGATCCTCCTTCCTCAGCCTCCCAAAGTGCTAGGATTACAGGCATGAGCCACCACACCTGGCTCCAAGGCCTTTCAGTTCTAAGGATCAGTGATTTGGGTTGAGTTCGGCTGTGTGGTTCTCCTACCAGTCTTACTTGGAATCACTTATGCAGCTGCAATCATCAGGCAGTCTGACTGGGGCTAGATGGTCTAAGATGACCTCATTCCTTGTATCAGATACTGTGCTGAGCATTTTATTTGCATTACTTTCTCAACAACCTAGGAGATAAACTCTATTATTATGTCGTATTAGAAATGAATATAGGTGAAAAAGAAATTTAAAAAAATAAAAAAGAAATGAATATAGGTGATACACTGAACAGGTGGGACTCACAGTTATATTTGGAAAAACAGCTGGCTTTCTTTTCTCCACTTTTCATTCAAACCTGTTCTAGAGGGATGACTTGCTTTAGAAGCAAGCCCTGTGACTTATCTGGTCACTGTTAGATAATAAAAAGTCTGATTTTTGCTGGGCACAGTGGCACACACTTACAGTCCCAACTACTCAGGAGGCTGAGATAGGATCATTTGAGTCCAAGAGTTCAGATCCAGCATCCAACCTGGGCGACATTTGAGAACTCCTATCTCTTCTGTGTTGTTGTTGTTGTTGTTGTTGTTGTTGTTGTTTAAGAGACAGAGTCCCACTCTGTCACCCAGGCTGGAGTGCAGTGATGCGATCACAGCTCATTGCAGCCTCTATCTCCCAGGTTCAAGGGATTCTCCCACTTCAGCCTCCCCAGTAGCAGGGAATACATGCACATGCCACCATGCCCGGCTAATTTTTTTTATTTTTTGTAGAGATGGGGGTCTCACTATCTTGCCCAGGCTGGTCTTGAATTCCTGGGCTCAAGCAATCCTCCCATCCTGGCCTACCAAAGTGTTGGGATTACAGGAATGAGCCCCTGCACCTGGGCTTTTTTTCTCTCTCTCTCTTGAGACAGGGTCTAGCTAGGCACGGTGGCTCGTGCCTGTAATCCTAGCACTTTGGGAGGCCAAGGTGGGGGGATAGCTTGAGCTCAGGAGTTCAAGACCAGGCTGGGCAACATGGTGAAACGTCATCTCAAAAAAAAAAGAAAAAACAGAGGGAGAGAGACAGGATCTCACACTGTCACCCAGGCCACAGGCCCTCACCACAATGCTCAACTAACTTGCCCAGGCTGGAGTGCAGTGGTGCAATCTCGGCTCACTGCAAGCTCCGCCTCCCGGGTTCAGGCCATTCTCCCGCCCCAGCCTCCCGAGTAGCTGGGACTACAGGCACCCGCCACCAAGCCCGGCTAATTTTTTTTTTTTTTTTTTTTGTATTTTTAGTAGAGATGGGGTTTCACCATGTTAGCCAGGATGGTCTCTATCTCCTGACCTCGTGATCTGCCCACCTCCACCTACCGAAGTGCTGGGATTGCAGGCGTGAGCCACCACCCCCGGTCAGGAGTCCTATTTTAACATTCCATTACATGAGGAAAGTAAGGCTTTAAATTTTTAAATAACCTGTTCTAGGTCACAGATAAGAAGAAAAACTGGATTCAAAAATTAATGTCATGGGTACTATGTTCAGTACCTGGGTGATGGAATCGGTCATACCCCAAATCTCAGCATCATGCAATATAACCAGATAACAAACCTGCACATGTATCTTCAAATCTAAAATAAAAGTTAAAAAGAACGAAAGAAAGATATTCTTATTTTTTCTTTGCCAAAAAATTAACATCTTAAATATGCTTACAAATTTCATCTTGGGAGATTTAGCCTATTGTTCTGGGATTTGTTTTGTTTTGTTTTGCTTTGTTTTGTTTTGTTTTATTTTATTTTATTTTTTGAGTCAGTCTTGCTCTGTTGCCCAGGCTGCAATGCAGTGGTGCCATCTTAGCTCACTGCCGCCTTGAACTCCCAGGCTCAAGTGATCCGCCCACCCCCACCTGCCCCTGCCTGAGCCTCTTGAATAGCTAGAACTATAGGCATGCCCCTCCACACCCAGCTAGTTTTTTAAAATTTTTGTAGAGACAAGTTCTTGCTATGTTGCCCAGGCTGGTCTCAAACTCCTAGCCTCAAGTAATCCTCCTGCCTCAGCCTCTCAAAGTGCTGGGAGGCATGAGCCAGTGCCCAGCTGCATGCAGTGTTTTTTATCACAAAGGTAACACCTATTCATCTTTTTTCAAAAATTCAAACGTATAGAAATATAGAAACTGAACATCTCCCATAATCCTATTCTTCAAGACAACTGGTTTAGCAAGTGAACAAGTTTTAAAAAGTCACTCAAGGGCATAGAAATGAGA